TCTCTTGTGCAAATGATTTTCAAGTTTTAAATTATAAGTCCTCATACTTTGCTTTCTTTTTTTTTTTTTTTTTCTTTTCCTTTTGTTTTAATTGAATTCACTAAACCAGTCAATTGCTCTGTTTTATACAGGGACTTGGAAGATGCAGATAACATTACTTTTCTGAACGGGGGAAATTTGGTTTCCTGCACTAAGCTGCAATTTATATCTTCTTTGTGTACACATTTGTGTTCAAATAGAGAATAGGAGGAGTCCACAGGATCAGCCCTGAACTCCTTTTCAAGGAGCACTCCTGTTGAAGATTCTTCTTTTTGGCTTAGATGACGGGAGCACAGGGAGCAGCACCAAGCAGCCTCACTGGTCACATACTCACTGCTCATGTGCTTGCATTCAGAGACAACTTCACTGACCATCCATAATGAGTATTATGAAATGCAGAGGGGTCCTAGGACAATATACCTCTACCCCAGGAGGAGATTCTCTTCTACCTCTTCATTCACAGGTGGTTGTTGGCACACTGAGCTGCTGCTGCTGAGTCTCTGCTAGAAGAAGAGGCACAAAAGTTTTTTAGCTCCCCTCAAAATGGGATCATATGTATGGAAATAGGTCCATAAACAATGTGCAATTCTAAGCAGCCAGCTAGAAAAAGTAATTAAAGGGGACATCTAAATCACAATAAAGTGCACAGAATTTTAAGTAGTCTGTCTAAATGTATTCCTGTCCTCCAGCTAAGTCATTTGCAATCAACTTGTTGATTATTTTAACTACACATTAAAACCTATCTCTTCTAAAGAATAAGCCTTCACACAAACAGAGATCAGTCCATTCTCCCAAAGCTTTTTGGTTTAAACTTCTGGATAGGAACAGTCTGCAAATAACCAAGCTGCAGCTTGACTTTCCATGCCAACAGATACTTTGCCAGGCACAGAATCTTTGGGATCTGCAGGGATGAAGGGTAATAATTTCCCTTGTGAAAAGGACAGTTTCTGAAACAATTTCTATGTCCTCCAGGCTCTGCTTCCCATCCTCTACCTGACCATACAGATTACATGTAGAAAACCTGTGGACTTTGTAATGCAGGCAGACAGTGGTGTTTGGAACCTTTTGGTGTGCCTGGAAACTGCCTGCTGGGGTTTTCTGCTCTCAAAAAGGATGAGTTTTACCTCAAGAGCTGCCACAGTGATGTGCACAGGGCAGCTGGACTACCAGCCTGCTTATGCTCAAATGATAAATTTCCCTCTCATTTAGCAATGCCACAGCCTCATAGAATCACAGAATAATTGAGGTTAGAAAAGCCCTTCTAAGGTCATTAAGTCCAACCATTAACCCAGCACTGCCAAGGTCACCACTAACACAAGTGACACATCCACATGGCTTTTAAGTTCCTCCAGGGATGGGGACTCCACCACTTACCCAGGCTTCCTGTTCCAATGACTTGACAGACCTTTCTGTGAAAAATTCCTGCCTGATATCCAATCTAAAAGTCCCCTGGCCCAGCCTAAGGCCATTCCCTCTCCTCCTGTCCCTGTTCCCTGGCAGCACAGCCCGACCCCCCCGGCTGTCCCCTCCTGGCAGGGACTTGTGCAGAGCCACAAGGGCCCCCTGAGCCTCCTTTTCTCCAGGCTGAGCCCCTTTCCCAGCTCCCTCAGCCGCTCCTGGGGCTCCAGATCCACTCACAAAGAGTTAACTGATGTGTCAGATTGAGCTACCGTGGCTACCAAAAGAGTAAATCTGAAAACTTGTGTGAGCATCCATTGCTCTGAAGGGGTCCAAGGAGACAAATCATTGGCAATTCCTCTCCTTCACATACTTGTCCTTACTTTGGTTTTATTTAAAATTTTGTCTGAGCTGTTGTCCTGGCAGCCTTAATTTTGCATTAATTGACTCTATGAATCATACCCATACATTGACACCCTTTTAACCTAGTGATGTTTCCCCTGATTTAGCCACCTAAGGGTTAAGTGGTGGTGTTTTGGTCGGGCAATAATTGCCTCAAAGCCTTCCCCAAACTTTGCAGACATGGAACTGGTATTTTTACTGTCAGCACTGAGTCTCTGCTGGTCATAATCCACAGGAATGCACCTGGATGCAATTGTGCTTGGATAACTAAACCCGAGTGATGTGTTTCATTTAGTGGGGACTCCACTGGCTTCGCTGTAAAGATTAGAGAGTGATTCAGCATTCATGAGAAAATGTGGCAAAAAAAGGTTAGCTGAACAGTGCTAGAAGTGGAGCCATATTGGGAGCAATTGAAGGAGGAAATGGTCTGGATTTATTGTCTGCATTAAAGATATTGTGGGTCCCATGGATACCAGGAGTGTCATGGAGACATAGCTAATAGGATTTTTATTGGATTATTGTCCGGCTGCTGCACCTGCTTCTGAAGGGGACACTGCAGTGGGTTTTCTGGCATAGTACTTGAACAGGGGATCAGAAAGGAGCTATGGGAGCTGGAAGCTCCAATATAAATTTTTAAGGAAACTTTTACAGTTGCCTCAAAGCCATTTCAGGTTATTTCTCATTTGAATTGACTTGAGGGAAGATTAATTCTAAAGTTTTTAATATTTTTAGGGTAGAAATTTCAATTACTGTTGTTTTTTTGAGAGTTTTTAAAAATAGTTTTGTTTGTTTTGGGTTTTTTTGGTTTTGTGGGGGTTTTTTGGGTTTTGTTTGTTTGTTTTGGATTTTTTTGTTTGTTGCTTTTTTTTTTTTCCACAGTGACATAGAATCACAGGATCATTAAGATTTAAAAAGGTGTCTAAGGTCTTCGAGTCCAATCTTGCAGGGATATTGTCTCCACCACTCTCCTGGGCAACCTGTTACAATGCTTGACTACCACTTCAGTGAAGAATTTTTTCCTAACATCCAATCTAAATCTTCCCTGGCACAACTCGAGGCAATTTCCTCTCATTCCACTGGTCTCTCATTTTCCCTCTCTCCTGTGCATTAGGTCAGGAATTTCCTCCTCTGTATCTCAATTCTTCACCTGTATCTAAATTTTGCTAAACTTGTCAGATGCGGATCCTTTCTGGTCATTTCCATCCTTGAAGATCTCACACAAGCTGACAAGGCTTGCTTCTCTGTTTCATGTTCAACAAAGCATTTCCCAGCTCCATTTTAGTTCTTTTATTATACAACAGAGGGGGAAAAAAAATAGGAGTTTTCATCAACAGTTCATTTTAATTTTTATTCCTGCTTTCTACTGAAGCTGAACATTAGAGGAACTTGGAAGCCATCAAAATTCAGGTCTCAAGATAAACACTTCTAGCATTGATTCAAGAGAGTCTTACGAGATTTTAAGTAGGTTTGTATGAATAATTTTAACAAGTGATTTCATGAATTGCATCTCATTTCTTTTTCATTAATTATTTAGAAAGGGGGTCAAGTTATTCGATCCAGGATCTATTCCAAAACTTTCTGGAGTAAAGGAAAGGAAATAAATGCATTCTGGATTAAGACACACAGACATTTTATTGAATTTCTAAGATCTTCAGAGAAGCAGTGCTTTATTATGTGTCTCTAGCATATGATACAGTGCTTATTGACATAAAAATGTTGCGACTTTTTTTGTCTGTATTTTCTTGACAAAGACAGCATCTCTTGGAAAAGTCCTCCTAGTGAGGTGTGAATATTTTACATTTTTCACTTCAAAGGTATTGTTTTAGAAAGCATTTTTTCTCAGTTAACATAAGTAGAAAACTGAGGTCATTAATATATAAAGTATTCTACTTAAACCTGATGTCTCATTTTCAGGTAAAATTGTCATCAAGGATTACAGTCAGTGGCTTCTAACAACTAGCAAAAACACAGCAAGACAGTCTCAAGCTGCACTAGGGGACATTTAGTTTAGGAAGAATTTCTTCACAGGAGTGATTAGATATTGGAACAGTCTGCCCAGGGAGGTGGAATCATCATCCCTGGAGGCGTTTAAGAAAAGCCTGGATGTGGCAATCACTGCTCGGGTCCAGCTGACAAAGTGGTGTTTGGTAGTAGGTTGGACTCAATGATCTCAGAGATATTTTCTGACCTAATTGTTTCTATGATTTCCCACATACTTTTTCCCCCCCATTCTCTTTTTAATCTTTTCCCTCAGTGATGTTATTTATTTGCCTCTAGTCTCTTTTTCCAGGGGAATTTGGATAACCCTGAGGATGTCTATATCTACTTCTAATGGTGCTTCATCACTTGATTCTTCACCTAAAATTCCTAATCTTTTAAATTGAATCAGTTACTTTCTCAGATTTATCTATCTATGTATCTATGTACCTATGTATCCACCTCCCTACCTACCTTTTGGACAATCACACTCTGTTCCCTTCCAGTAACCATTTTTCCAGTTCACGTATTTTTGTTCCCTTATTTCCTTTTGCTTCATGTATTACTGGACCAGCAGTCAGCATCATATTGTCCCTAAAGCATGACTAATTTCTGGTTCTGATAATAAATTTAAAGAAAGCAGTTTGATTAAAAATATGTTTTGTGTTGAAAGTGGTATGATTTTGATTCTAAATTTTATTGTATATTATCATTATGGTAAGTTCCTCATCTCCAAGAAATATACCACTGACAATAATACTGTGTTGGAGATGTAGTTTAAAAATTTAAGTGGATAGTGAAAAGATATAAGAATAACTTACTTATATAACACAAATTCTTTGAAAATCCTGCTTCCATTTTAACTTTGATTTCTCATTAATACGAGAATAAATTCATAATAAATCACAGAAAATCTATATTGGCATGCTGCTAGAATTTTCCATGATTAGGTGTTGGTCACTGCCATTTCCTCTGAGAAATCTGGGAATTTATATATTACTGGGCAATACTAAAAAGCAAGCTGGTGGTCTCTCTAGATTGGAGGGTAAAAGAGCTTAACAGTCCATGTGTAGACCCTTTGTGACATCCTCCATCCTCGCCAGAGTGTGGTCCTGAGTGTACTTTATCTTCTTCTACAGGATGTCCTAGTCTTAAATTGTGCCAAGAGAAATTTATGTTGGATGTTAGGGAAAAGGTTTTTATTGAAAGAGTGATGAAGAAATTGAACTGTCTGCCCAGGGAGGTGGTGGAGTCTCCATCCCTGGATGTAAAGTCACGTGCGGATGGTGGCATGACGCTACCTTGTGAAAGTTGTCTCCAGGGAGGAGCTGCTCAGGCAGGCAGCAGACACTCCCACACACTCCAACACACTCAGCTCCCAGCAGTAAAAATGAAAGGGGCTTTGGAATGGTCGTCCAGAGGGGGTTTATTTGCCACCACTCCAGAGGAAACCAACAGGGACCAAGTGCAGGGAACAAACGAGGGTCCAGGGTTACACATGGGTCCCAGGGGGTGGCTCAGAGGGTCAGAGTGCAACAGGGACAGGGTAAAGTGGTGCATAGGAGGGGTTAGGGACACAGAGGTAACACAGCATCAAACAATGGGGCAGAACACTGTACCAAACTGGAGTCTATGGGGGAACAGAGAAGGGAGAACTTTCTAGGGGAAAGACATAAAAGGTAGAAAGGGAGGGACTGCCAGCAGGCCAACAGGGTATATAGAACTGGCTGTGCAAAGAACTCCGGGGGAAGACCTTTGCCTTACATTTTCATGCAAGGGGAAAGCCTTTTATACTTTCACTCTACATGTTGGAGACTTCCTTCCATGCTATCACCATCTTTGGCTACAGAGCCTCCACAACTCCCCTTTTTTATTAATAAAAAAGGCTTGCCCCATAGATCTTTGCACAAATTTTAAAAGACACGAAAACATTATCAAAAACAATAAAAATAGTAAGTAAAATCCACAAAACACTAGTAAAAAAGTTTTGAACACAACCCATCAGTCCTGGTTTCTTTAACAGTTCTTGGAAACAGCTGGTATCACTGTCCCTTCCTGACTGGCTTCCAGTTTCTACTTTAAGGTCTTCAATTTTGTCCCACAGGTGTTGGATGCTGTGGTGGGTAGATTTGCTTTGTGATGTTAAGCTGAAGTAACACTTGCCTTCGTAATCCCCGCATCCATGGCCATGGGCAAGCAGTAAAAAGTCAATGGCAGCCCTGTTTTGAAGGGTTGCATGCCTGGTGATCTCCTTGTTTTCCAGAAAGGCACTGAGGACTGCAGGTGTTGCATTGGCCTGCTTACCAAGCCAACACCCCAGGTGAGAAATCTCACCAAGGGTCTTTGCAACAGCCAACCATGGTAGGAAAATGGAGACTGTGACTCTCTTGCCTTCATTCCAATTACTAATCTGGGAATCATTAATTTTGTTGAATTCAGCATAAAATCCTTTTTGGCAGGCCAATTGAGCATTTTTTTTTTTTTTCTTCCAGTTCTGAATTAATGTGATATTTGGGGTGAGGGTGGTAAGCTGGCCAAGAGTACAGGGCCTTCCTGGGAAACACAAAAGGATTCCTGCCCAAGCTCTATCTCAGAAAGTAAGAAATACCCCCAGGGGAGTACTCTACGATTGTAAGTGGACAGGGATAGTGTTTCACTGGTGTAATTGCACCAGTCAACAGAGTAAATTTTTCAAGTCGGGTTTACATTGTTCTGATAGAGACAACGAATATATTCAAATTTTCCAAGAGGTTGATATGATAACCTACAGTAAAACTGGATACGAAATTGGGCCCTGGAGGACCCCAAGAAATCCAGTTCTTGGGGCTCCTCTTCTGCATGTGATAAAATCCTTGCCAATCATCCCAGGTGTCCACGGGATTGAGTTTGTCATTCACACAGGGACAGTCTCTTCCTGCCAGTGGGATCTCCACCAGGCATGATGACAGGGGGTTGCCAAACTCCTTCGTGGCCGTGCAGTGGTTATCTTGTTGGAGGGTCTTTGCTAGAATTACCCAGATGTTTTCTTGAGTTAGGGAACAATCCATCCTGCAATGGTTGGCAACAACAGCAGCAATCCAGGCTCTTTCCATGCTGTTTCCAGGAGAAATCAGGAACGGGCTTGAAATAAATGTGTAATTTTACAAAATAATTAATAAAATACTTGAAACTTGTAACTCTTGATAACTTGGTGAACTGAACTTCAACATCTTCTCCTCCTACTCCCCCCTTTTCTTTTTATTGAAAACAGAACAAGAGAGATATGGCAGGGTGAGAAGGGGAAAGAGTGGTAACATTGCATTATAACTTAAATGGGGGAAAAGTTGGCTTAAGGGTGTGGAAAAGGAAAGGATAACAAAATAACTGTTTTGGACAGGACAGCATTAAAAACTGGGGCACAACTTGACCATTGAAGGCCAATCCAGTGAGAAAGTCTACAGCATAGGTAATGTTGTCTTAGGCAGCTGGATATCAGTTAGTGCATGTCCATTCTGTGTTTTCCTTCTTTGCCTCCATGCTGCATTGATTGCATCCTATTGGTCTTCTTTGTCTTGTTCAGGGGTATTTTTAAGAAGTTCTCTGGATACTGTAGTGCTTGCTGGCTCAATGTATGGTTTGATGTTATGGCCAGGGATCCACCTTGGGCCTGATCCTGTGGAGGCACAGGTGTACCCTCTCCAAGGGTAATGAATGGGAAAGATCAATCTGTTTAGATTCTGAGTCCTTGACCAGCATCAGTGGTTTCTCTTCGAGTTTAGCTCAGGTATAATTTGAGAAATACTGGACAGCAGGGCGGTTTGGCTCCATGAGTGAATTATTTAAAAAGTTAAAAACATAATTTGCCTTAGAGAGCCTCTCAGTGGGAGGTATGGTCTCTGTCCCCCCTCTTTGCTGGTCAAGGAGCTATTTGATGGTGTGATGGGCCCTTTCCACAATTGAATGTGCAGTGGGAGAGTGAGGTATGCCCCACTCCAACTGATCTAGAAATTCTTTGAGTTTGTGGGAGGTGTAGCCAGAGCCATTACTCGTTTTAACATGTTTAGGAATGCCCAAGGTGGAGAATGCAAGAAGGAAATGGCAAATGGCATCTTTTGCCTTTTCTCCTGCATGAACCAAGGCAAACACAGTTCAGAGAATGTGTCTATAAACATACGGATATACTTTAATCTCCCAGAGGGAGCATGATTGGTTTCCCAAAGCTTGAAACTTTCTAGACCCCTGGGGATCAACCCCAGATCCCATGGATGGCATAGAGAAACTCTGGCAATTAGGTCAGTAGCCCACAATTGCTCTAGCTTGGTTTTATGTAATTTTGAATGTACAGAGTAGTGCTGTAATGTTCTGATGAAACAATTGATAGCTCAGTTTGGTTTGGTTGAAGATGTTCAGCAATGTGGTCTGGACAGCCATGGCCAGAGCATCAGCTCTCCGATTACCCTCGGTGATGGGTCCTGGTAGATTGTTGCATGACCTTACATGCATTATATGATATGGTTGCTCTAGGTGGGAGAGGAGATAGACTAGCCTTGAGAGCAAACCATACAGATTTGGATTTGAGATGTCTTTTAACAAAAAAAGTTCAGCCTTCTCAGCACACACCAGCAACATAAGTCAAATTTGTGATCCAATTCAGGGGTCCTTTGAACCTCTCAAAGGCTCTGACAACGGCCACTAATTCAGCAATCTGCAAGGAACCCTGGACAATTTTGGTATCAGACTCCCACTCCTGAGTCTCTGGATTTTTTTTCAAGTCATAACTCACTTCTGGAATCCTCCTGAGACATTGGTGAAGATGGTCAGAGTTTTGAGAGGGGTTTGAGTTTTAAAAGATTTTTGGGCCAAATGGAAAACTGAATTAAATACTTTGTATTTAGATAGATGAATTGAAATTTGACCTGTGTGGCTATCTAGGGTGAACTGGAGGTACTCATTGGTCTGGAGCAAATGGTCCAGACACCGTAAAGGAAAGTAAATGCATGTAAAGACACACCCCACAAGGGTCTGGAGGTGTGCTCTGGCTTTCATAATGAGCTGAACCATCAGTTCCTGTGGGGTGGTAATTGTTTAGTGGGTTGGTGTGATTGGAACACTCACTCTGTAATTGTTGTGGTAAGCCTTCTTTTAATAAGTTTAAAGTTGTTCATGTAGTAGTTTGTTCTGTTACTCCCCCCCCACGCCCGCTTTGTTCATTTAACTCGAAGTTATCTCCTCCCCTACACTGTCCATCACTGTATCCCAACCCTTTTTCCAGTATCTTCCCTATCAATCTTGTAAACCCTGCCCTTCGTTCCCAAACCCTTCCTGCCAATCTCCCAAGGTTTGACACCCTACTGGCTTATGTATACTGTTCCCTCCCGCTATGCTTCCCCATAGGTTATTATGTTGTAAACCCCACCTTACACTCCTCCCTGCTCCTTCCCCTATTGGTTAAAGATATGTATCCTCCCCTGAGACCTCCCTATATGTAAGTCCCTGTACACTCAGTTTCTTTGTCTTTTGTCCTCAGACCCTTGCCTAGAACAAACCTCTTTGGAAACCTGTACAAAAGACCCTGGTTTTTACCCGAACCCTCGACACAAACCACAGCATGCCTTGGAAAGCAGACTTGCTGCCACTGAGCTGAGCAACCCTGCTTTACCTCCACTTAGGCTGAGGGAGGCCACACTCGGCACCCCATATGGGGCCTCCAGGGTGAGACCTCATGAAAGAGTCGAGCAGACTGTCTGGTCGTGCCGAGAGGACTGCTACAGGACTTTCTGGGCGGCACCTACCTCAGTTGCAGCAAGTCAACTTTTGTCCAGCACTGCTCCCACAGAGAGAAGCAGCAACCCTTGACTGCACCAAGGATTGCCTCTGGGCAGAGAACGTCTCTCGCAGCATCCTTGTCTGGACCCTGGTGTGCTGAGTTTCCTGGGGGGGAGGAAATACTGTGTGTGTCAGGAGGAATACCAAGTGATGTGGTATTCCCTCCTTTTGGGCTCCAGACCTTTATCTTTCTGCTCTTTTACGTTTCTGTTTTGCTGAAGGGGCAGTAAATTGTG